ACTTTTGTCACTGAACGTTCTTCACGATCTGTTCATGCGCTCCCTGACTGGACCCGAAAGGCGCCTCAGTTCCCTGCAGCAGGACCCGCTGTGTGTTTCCCTGATTAAACCGCGCGGGTTCCTATGGAGATCCTCCGAGCTGTCAGAGACCAGCCTCTAAATCTCCAGCAGAAGCAAGAGTTTTTGTGCGCGGGTGACACGTCCTTTCAAACGGCGCAGTTTAAAACGCTGATTTATGCGCCTCTGAAGGGTCAGCGCAGGAGCACATTCAAATGGGGAAAACAACTTACTGATGCCACATGTTGAAACTGCAACCCACATGTGATTGTTTGAAATCTGACTGACTCTAGATTTGAAGACTCTTGCTTTGAGAATACACTCAAGAAATACTTGTGCTGCTTGTTCAAACTATTTATTTAATTTGAGTTGAACCAACACAATTCTTAAGATTTTGTGGGGGACAACTTAATCGTTTCATGTTAAATCCACTTAAATTAATAAAAACACAAAGAAGATATTTTAAAGAAAGCTGAAAACCTGTCACCATTGACTTCCATAGCAGGAACAACAAATACACTACTTGACAAAAGTCTTGTCGTGAATCCCAGTTGTACGAGCAACAAATAACTAGATTAAAAAGTTAATCAAGACAAACTTTAGGTTGTCTTAGAAAGCTTAGACTGAAAGCTTTTTGAAGTAGTTTTAAGAAGCTTAGTTTGTTGGAACCAGTGGTGTAGTGGTTAGTACGTCGACACATGCACTCTGGTGCTCACGGCGCCCAGAGTTCGATTCCAGCCTCGCAGTCCTATGCTGATCCTTCCCCTCTCTCTGCTCCCCATCCTTTCCTGTCAATACTCTCTACTTTCCTATACAATAATAAAGGTGAAAACTCCTATAAATAATTAAATTAAGAAGCTAAAAGTACTTTTAAGTAGTTGTAAGATTTAACAAGCTTATAGTTTTAAAGCAGTTTTAAGTTTAAAGTAGCATCAAGTGTTTAGATTATTTAAAAAGTTTAAAGTAGCATCAAGTGTTTAGATTATTTAAAAAGTTTAAAGTAGCATCAAGTGTTTAGATTATTTAAAAAGTTTAAAGTAGCATCAAGTGTTTAGATTATTTAAAAAGTTTAAAGTAGCTTCAAGTGTTTAGATTATTAAAAAAGTTTAAAGTAGCTTCAAGTGTTTAAAGTAGCTTAAAGTTTAAAATAATTCTGACTTCAACTGTATATGCATGCATGTGTGTATTTATATATACATTGTAATGGAACAATGTAACTTCTTCAAGTTCTTCACCATTTCCATAGGGACTCGGCACAAAGGATTTGACGCGCAAAACCACAAACTTGCAATGTAACAGTTTACTTTTCGTTTGTCGAGAACAACAATAATCAAAATACAAACAAAAGAACTATGTACACTTTACTAAGCTTCCAAATAAATATGGTTTTAAAAGTGTCAAAAGACCCTTCAAGCCCCTTCCTTCTTTCGAATCCTTTTTTCCTGTTGCTTACGCATACATATGACGTATGGCATTACTGAACATATGAAACGTCATGCACATAATATAATATCACAAAATAAACATATTAAATACTGTATCAAATAGCAATAACGTTGTATCTCAATACAAATAATATAATATTATAGAAAAATATTACAAAAATAAAAAGACAAATCTCTTAGTGCTCTTTATGGCTCTAACATACATAATAACTATAGGCAGTACACACACTTAAATTGTCAAAACAAACTTTTATTTAGGATTAATCGTAATTTTTGCCCAGCACTAATTTTTATTGATATTGTTTTTTTTTTGGCCATGTCTATTTTTGTAGTTTATTTCATTTTTATATATAGTTATGATATAGTAATAGTTATTATAGTACTTAAAGTGAAATCTACACTACCTGACAAAAGTCTAGTCATAGATCCTAGTTGTAAGAGCAACAAATAATAACTTGACTTCTAGTTGATCATTTAGAAAAGTTGAAGGTCAATTTTTCTGATGAATCATCTGTTGATCTGCATCCCAATCATCACAGATACTGCAGAAAACCTACTGGAACCCACATGGACCCAAGATTCTCATAGAAATCAGTCAAGTTTGGTGAAGGTAAATCATGGTTGAGGGTTACATTCAGGGCTTGACATTAACTTTTTTGATCACCGGCCACTGTGGCTAGTAGTTTTCCAACGTTACTAGCCACTCTGCATTTTCACTAGCCATAATTTTGTTGTTGGAGAAATAAATTTTATATGCGTAAATTTGACTTTGACATGCTAAAATACTTTATTTAAATTTTGTGTTATGTCCACACGCCGCCTCATTTATTTGACTTTTTGTGTGTCGTGTATGAGCAATGAGCATGAGCAAACGGGTCATGGTTTCATAGTGTTATATTGCAATTTGTTTTTATTTCACAGACTTTTCAGAGCTCAAAATTAAGGATTTACCACACCAAACAATGATTATTTCTTACTTTTTAATTTAACAAAACATTTCTTTAAAAAACAAAGAAAAACAATTGACTTTTAAAAAATAATTATTGTCATGTATCTAAAATGTGTACAGTAATCTGGCCTGGCAAAAGGTCTCTTGGATCACCAGTTAACGACACATAAATGGAGAGTTGATCTCATATTAAAGCAATATTGTAAAAAAACAAAGATAATTAAACTATATTAATGAAACTAAAAGCAAATAAACCTGTAAGTAAATGAAAGGAGGTAAAAAACATACCGTGTGTGATAATGAAAGGATGATTATATGCACATGGTTAACGCTAGCCCAATTAAAAATCTGTTAAAAGTGAAAGCAACCGGTGACGCTTACAGGAAGACAAATCTGGAGCTCTTGAAAGCAGCAGGACTGTGGGGGCATTAGCTTAACTTTTTGTCAAGTCTATTTGAAAGACAACTGATCACAGTTGCGTTTCCAGACACGGCTTCACGAAAGGAAACGGGAGCGCGGACGCGTTTTAAACAGTCGTGCGCATCACAATAGCTGTTAGCGCAAGTGATCATCCTCTCAATTGATATTCAGCTGCTTTCTTCTGCTCGCGTGAACACAAATATTTTTGTCAGTCGTGTTGTTTCTCGATTCTATGATAACATTTGCATGCATATTAGGTGATCCTTATTGTCGAACTCCACTTTTAAGAAAACTACAATTGAAAAAATTATTTTCAACCAGCCAAAGTGGCTAATGGGTTTGTCTGTCTAACCCGCTAAAGCTAAAATCTACCCGCGTTTGGCGGGTTGGCGAGTGTTAGGGCCTACTCACACTATGCCATCTGTACCAAGCCCAGGCCCGTTTCCCGGATCGTTTGAGAAGTGTGAGTGCGCTGAATCGGGCTCAAGCACGGTTCACTTGGCCGGCCCTGGCCCGGTGGGAAGAGGTGGGCCTGAGCGCAGTTCACTTGGGGTTTGGGTTCACTTTGGTTCGAAACTGAAAGCGAGACGTGACTTTTAAGGGGCTGTTTCATATGGATTTATTATTCATTCTTACTGTTCACTGAACGCAAGCTGCCGTAGTTTATTAAAGGCACAAACCCCTCACTGCACGACAGCTGCACCTTCAGCAGACCTCCTCATTCCTGCAGCACGAGGGCTCTATGATTATGAGCGCCAAAAGTGGCGGATCTATTCAGCAAAATATCTGACTGCGTGTCACCGCATCCCTAAGGACTGTTTGGCGAAATATTTGACTGCATGTCACTGCATAGCAAACGACTGAAACGATATAACTAGAGAAATCTCCACTGTGCTGTTGAGTAAGATTGCTTCTCACTGAAACAGCGCAGCAGCGATGACGTAAGCGTGCCGAGGCCCGATTGTGGTGTGAGCGCGGGCCGTCGGGGGAGATGGGAGGGGGGACAAGCGTGCTTTGGCCTGGTTCGAGGCAACTGTACCTAGTGTGAGTACGGCCTTAAATGTCAAGCCCTGGTTACATTCAGTATGGGGCGTGTGAGAGATCTGCAGAGTGGATGACAACATCAACTGCCTGAGGAATCAAGACATTTGTGCTGCCCATTGCGTTACAATGCACAGGAGAGGGCAAATTCTTCAGCAGGATAGCACTCCCTCTCATACTTCAGCCTCTACATTAAAGTTCCTGAAAGCAAAAAAAGTCAAGGTGCTCCAGGATTGGCCAGCCCAGTCACCAGAGATGAACATTATTGAGCATGTCTGGGGTAAGATGAAGGAGGAGGCATTGAAGATGAATCCAAAGAATCTCGATGAACTCTGGGAGTCCTGCAAGAACGCTTTCTTTGCCATTCCAGATGACTTTATTAATCAGTGATTTGAGTCATTGCAGAGATGTATGGATGCAGTCCTCCAAGCTCATAAGAGTCATACACAATATTCATTCTGTTTCCACTGCAGCATTTCTGTTAAGTGACAAGACTTATGTCTAAGCAAAGTCAGACCTTACTGTCCTAATTAAATCATTAAAAATCAAGACATAATCATGTTTTATTTAGCTAAAATAAGCGTAATCTAGAGGTCTTTGCCTGTCATATAAGCCACTTCTGATACCAAATGATAAACTAGAAGTCAAGATATTATTTGTTGTTTATAAAACTTGCATAGGCGACAAGACTTTTGTCAGGTAGTGTACTATGGAAGTCAGCAATTACAAGTATCCAGCTGATGTCCACTAAAATGGACAAACAAACAAAAGAATAAATAAATAAAAATAAATAAATTAATTAAATGTAATAAAATATTTGACACTTTTATTGTTTTTATTTGATTTCCTTAAGAACAAAACAAATACTTCTCCCATTTATCTGAAACTTGGACCACAATTCAGGTCTGAAGAGGGGTTAATGCAATTAGGGCTCTGTGGTGCATCACACGTCTCTCTTTTTAACTCTACAAGTGACATCTGGCCTTAATCAGTCCCTCCTGCACTATTTCCAGGAGGCGTTTCTCTACCCGAACGCACCAATCAGAGAGCGCCCACCAGCCCCCATTAGATTTACTCTGCTTTTTTTCTTGGTCTGTGAAGTATTCTGCTTTTTTCCTGCTGCTCTGCCCTCTGAGCACCATCCAGACGCACTGGTGTGTGACAAGAACAGCAATGCGGACAGTACAGCGGCGCTCAAGCACATCCTGACGGCACCCCCAAACACTTCTGCTAACATTCCCCACCCAAAAAAGTGGGGTCCCTTCACATTGGAGACTCGAGCCAGAATGCCACAGGGAGCCTCCAAATGAGAGATACTGACTCGAACGAGAGCTACAAAAGGATACAGCGAGTGAGTGAAGAGTTGGCGAGAATCAGACTTTGGTGGATTTCTTTTGCACGCTGTTGAGGGAATCGCAGTTGGCTGGTTCCTGACCGGAGGACGTCTTTACACTCTAATTGCAAACTAAAAGAAACACTAAAGAAAGGGCTACTATGGCCAACTCTGGGTTTCAGCTTCTGGGCTACTTTCTGGCATTGGGAGGATGGATTGGGATCATCTCCACTACGGTGCTACCCCAGTGGAAGCAGTCCTCGTATGCAGGGGATGCCATCATCATGGCTGTGGGCTTGTATGAGGGCCTGTGGATGTCCTGTGCATCTCAGAGTACAGGCCAGGTGCAGTGCAAGATCTTCGACTCTTTGCTTTCGCTGGACGGTAAGAAGTACAGCAAATTTTTAAGCACTGACAGATGGTTAAAGTGATAGTTTAGAGTTTTTCTTACTCTAATTCATCGTTGCACACCTGGCTAAAACAAAAACAAAAAAGTTGTGGAAAAATTGCCACAAAAATATCACAGAATAAAAAAAAAAGATTTCAGACTTGTTTTTAACTGAGATGTTCAAGTTATTTTGGTAAAATAATGATTCCACAAGAGAGTGTGTAGAGTATGTAGTATGTTTGTACAATTGTAGGTTCCTTAAAGACCAGTTAACACAAAAATGACAGATGGTAAAAGTAATAGAGAGTTTAACGGTCATTTTAGTTCCACTTTCACATCATTGCACAAAAAAAGTTGTGAAAAATGATTGAAAATTGCATTTAAAATATCTTCTTTCATCTCCCACGGAAGAAAAACAGAATGTTTTTGGAATGACGTGTTTAATTATGATATTAAAACTAATTAAAGTGATATAAGGGAGTTTGTTGTGGCGCAGAAGAACAATTTTTGGTTCCTCAGAGAACATTAAGGGAACAGTTCACTTAAAAATTAAAATGTTGTCATCATTTACTGACCCTTTCACTTATTTCAAATCCTTATGGGTTGTTTACATCTATTAAATATAAAGGAAGATATTTTGAAGAATGCTGAAAACCTGTAACCATTGACTTTCATAGTATTTATTTTTCCTAATACACTCAACAAAATTGCTGCTTGTTCAAACTTCTAATTTAAAAAGAATTGAAACAACACAATTCCTTTGGGGTGGGGGGGCATCTTAATTATATCATGTTCAATCTACTTACATTTTTAAAAACAATTAAGTTAACCCGATTTATACTGGGACAACATGAAGGAATTGAGTGTAACCGATCCTTTTTTACGGTAGAAGTCAATGGTTACATGCTTTTTTTTTTTAGCTTTCTTCAAAATACCTTCTTTAGTGTTCAGCAGAAGAAACTTATCAATGGTTGGAATCACTTTTGGGTGAGTAAATATTGATCAAATGTTCATTTTAGGGTGAACTATCCCTTTAAAACATTCTTATAACCATCTTTTTTAAAGTGTGAAGAAGAATGCTGAAAACCTGTAACCATTGACTTCCATTGTATTTGTTTTTCCTACTACACTGCACAATACTTTTGCTGCTTGTTCAAACTACGTATTTAAAATGAGTTGAAATAACACAACTCCTACTTTTTGGGGATGGACAACTTCAATTTTTCATGTTTAATCCACTTAAATTTGTAAACACAATTAAGTTAACTCAATTTGTGTTGGAGCAACATGAAGTAATTGAATGTTACCCAGCATTTTTTACAATGGAAGTGAATGGTTACAGGTTTTCAGCTTTCTTCAAAATATCTTATTTAGTGTTCAGCAGAATAAAGAAACTCAATGTTTGGAATCACTTGAGGGTGAGTAAACATTGATTAAATGTTCATTATTTTAGATGAACTATCCCTTAAAATATTCTTAAAACTATAGTTTTTTATGTGTGCAGAAAAATGCTGAAAACCTGTAACCATTGACTTCCATAGTATTTATTTTTCCTAGTACACTCCAAAAAAACTTTTGCTGCTTATTCAAACTACTTATTTAAAATGAGTTGAAACAACACAACCTCTATGTTTTTTCGAAGACAACTTAATGATGTCATGTTCAATCCACTTAAATATGTAAAAACAATTAAGTTACTCAATTTATGTTGGAACGACATGAATTAATTGAGTTTACTCCTTTTTTTGTACAGTAGAAGATAATAGTTACAGATTTTCAGCTTTCTTCAAAATACCTTCTTTAATGTTCAGCAGAAGAAAGAGACTCATTAAAGTTTGGAATCCCTTTAGGGTGAGTAGACAGTGATTAAATGTTCATTTTTTGGGTGAACTATCCCTTTTAAACATTCTTAAAACCACATTTTTAAGTGTGAAGAAGAATGCTGAAAACCTGTAACCATTGACTTCCACAGTATTATTTTTTATAGTAAACTCCAAAAAAACTTTTGCTGCTTGTTCAAACTACTTATTTAAAATGAGTTGAAACACAACTTTTTTTTCGAGGACAATTTAATTTTTTCATGTTCAATCTATTTAAATTTGTAAAAACAATTAGTTAACTCGATTTGCACTGGGACAACATGATGGAATTGTGTGGAAACCAGCTTTTTTTAGTGTATGGAAGTCAACAGTTACAGGTTTTCTGCTTTCTTCAAAATACCTTGTTTAGTCTTAAGCAGAATAAAGAGACTCATTAATGTTTGGAATCACTTGGGTGAGAGTAAATATTGATCAAATGTTCATTTTAGGGTGAACTATCCCTTTAAAACTTTCTTAAAACCAAATTTTTTTAAAGTGTGAAGAAGAATGCTGAAAACCTGTAACCATTGACTTCCAGTATATTTATTTGTCTTAGTACACTCCAAAAAACTTTTTAACTTTCTTCAAAATACCTTCTTTAGTGTTCAGCAGAAAAAACGGACTGATTAATGTTTGGAAAGGGTGAGTAAATATCGAGTAAATGTTAATGGCGAACTATCCCTTTGAAACATTCTTAAAAACATCTTCTTTTAAAGTGTGAAGAACATTCTAAAACCCTGAAGGACTCTATAAAAGGGCAAAAATCAATCTTGATTGAGGGCTGTGAAGTTAAATATACCAAACCGTATTACATTAAATTTTCCATGGGTGATTTATTTACTAATATTTAAAAATAACTAGAAGACGTTGCTTTAAAACATATTAATTAAGGATGCAGTATCATTTTAAATGTTTTATAATGAACCTGTAAAAACATAAGAGATCCCATTTATAACACACTGAAGTTCAATGCTGAATCGAGCTTCTCCTGCCTTTGCCTTGATTTGCTCACCGATGCTTTGTGCATTGTCGACTGATAGTAGTTACATTTTAAAAGACGGATTCATTTGCAACATTTAAGTGAAGCCATCAATTTTTTGTAGCTCCCCACTGAAACAAACAAAAGGTTACGTTGAATTTGAAATGCATTCTCTATCATTTTTTTTACTTTTAAGAGTGTAGTATTTATAAGTATGCTCATGTTTGTTGTATATACAGATTAAAAAAGAGCTTTATATGAAATAATAATTAAATCAAGACTGTTAGGCTGAAGGAGGTTAGTAGGTTGAAAAAAAAAATGCAATCAACTCCAAGGGCTGCTGTGTGCAGATGGATTTAATCAACTCGTTTAATCGATCAAATTAAAATATGTGCGTTTTGACATATTATAATGAGAGTCTTATGTGACGCTAACCTCACCGAGACACAGACTGCTGAAATCCAGTGGAATGCAATTACATGGCGATTAATCAACATTTAGCGCCGGTCATTGTCAATTATGTGGTGACTTCTTGCGTCTAATCAGAATCAGTCGCTTCTTGTGTATTCCTGAGAAGAAGACGTCCCTAAAATTCAATTATGAATGGTGGATTTAGGATAATTCAATTATTTTCTTCATGACAATCAGCATCACATCCTCATCTGTTTGTGATTTGCGGTGTGTGACAAAACCCAACGCTTCTGAAGAGTTATGAGGCGCTTTCTTAATAACAATGGCAGATGTAATATAAATGTGGCGTGTTCTGAGAAAACAGTTTGCCGTCTTATATTCTGCATCATTGCTTTAATAACAGCGTATTGTCTTGATGGGATGAATGGCGGTTGTGTTGAGAAGAAAAGGCCAGTGTTTGGAGCAAACACCAAAGATATGTTCAGAATGCACATCCCCACACTACACTCTTTATCGCCGCTTTGAAGGGATTATAAACAAACATTTGCCATTTTTAAGATATGTTTAAAGCATATCTTACATATGAATTTGAAGATTTTCTTTCATTTATTTATTGCTTTAGTGCTTTTTATAATGTAGGTTGTGTCAAAGCAGCTTAATAAAGAGTAGATGACAGAGGTGTAAAGAGTACCTGAAAACCATACTTGAGTAAAAGTACTGATACCTTACTGTAAACATTACAAGTTACAAGTCACCAATTCCAATAAGACTTGAGTAAAAGTATTAAAGTTTAAATTTTTAAAAGAACTTAAGTATTTTACTTATACTGAATGTAGCTCAAAGAACACCAAGAAAGGTTTTATTTAATACAGAAATTAAATTGAACACCTCAATGTTTCAAAATGGCAGAACAAAATAGATAAAAAAAGAACAAAAAAGTCTCAAACTCAAATGTTCAAAAAGGCAAAATTTTTCAAAAAATAAAAAAGTAGTAAAAACGTAGTAAAAATAAAAAATTCAGGGCTGACTTTCATGTGATTCACCTCTCAGTCTCAAAGGGGGGTAATACTTTTATTTTGAGTAGTTTTTCAATTAAATAGGATGTTTTCTCTGTATTAAAATTAAACAAAGAGGAGCAGTGTTTTTTCAACTTAGTAAACTACATATAAATTCAATGAAAAATACATAACAAATAGTCATGTCATGTCGCAGTGGTTTTTGCCATATCAGTAACTGTATTAAATTCACTAAAATTACATTAAATTAAGATTAAATAGACTCTTACTTTAATGCGTTTTCTCAAGTTTGACGATAACTTCTTAAAAGCACTTATTTTCGTGGTTCGTTGCAAACAAATTAAACTACATCCTGCAAGAGCCATTCTGCATACCTGCAAATGAACACTTTTCTTTCAAATAAGGGCATGGACGGTCATCAGTGCTGGCACTGCTTGATGTGCCGACTGTGCCTTCATCATTTGTAGCAGCCATGTCGCTAATTAAACACCTGGTATTAGGCCATATATATATACACTAGATATCGCATAGGGAGCCTGAGCATGCGTCAATAGCGCCGCCATATTGGTACAGTGCTCCCAGGACAAATGTCATTCAACCGCACTAGTCAACACAGTGTTATTACTTGAAGATGCTAGAATTAGCGCTGTCTACGGGTGTAGTAACGAGCAAACAAAGAAAACAAAGCACAAAGGCAGAACATTTCATAGGTAATATTAAGTTCCCCTTCG